CTTGATGTGCCTAATAGAGAGGAGCATGGCGACATCCTTCTTCACAAATTCCCTCCTTTCGGCGGAGAGGGGTCTTCTTCGTTGTTGTACTGCTTTTGCCGAGGGGTCCACCGAGAGGCGGTGGGTGATGACCCTTCGACTTATTACGGGCATGTCCTCCGGCCCCCATGCAAAGACAGTGGAGTAGGCGCGGAGGGCGTCGGTGATACCGGTCTTCAGAGCTTCAGGGAGTTGGGCTCCAATCTTCACGACTCTCTCCGGCTTGGTCGGATCGAGCGCAAAGTCTTCTACGTCCTCGGCTGGTTCAGCCCTCGGCCTTTTTTCTTCTTCGTCGATGGTTCCGGTGATGGTGTCAACACGGAATTCTGTCTTACTTACCCTCTTCGTGACTTGAAGATAGCAAGCGCGGGCAATTTTCTGATTCCCCCGGGAGTAGCCAATGCCCCCCTCGGCGGGGAACTTGAGGCAGAGGTGCCTCATGGAGATGATGGCCTTGAGGTCCTCGAGGGCTGGTCGGCCGAGGATGATGTTGTGGGCGCAGTCGATGTTGACGAAGACGAACTCCACTTCGAGCTGGGCTCTATGGAGCCCGTCGCCGAAGATTACCGGGAGGGTTATTACCCCCTCGGAATCAATAGTATCACCGGTGAAGCCGGCAAGAGGGGTCTTAATGGGCCGAAGGGACCCCCTCTCCAGGTGCAGCTCTCTAAAGGTGTTGAGGTACATTACATTGACGGAGCTGCCCGTGTCAATGTAAGTTCGGTGAATGATGGTGTTGTTTATTTCAGTCCGAATCACCAAGGCATCCCTGTGAGGAGAAGAAGTAGGAGGGAGATCTGCGTTGGTGAAGGTGATGGGTTCCTCCCTCATCCGCTTTACCGGGGGCATATGGGTGACTTCCCCCACGTAAAGCGATTGAGCCCACTTCTTCCGCTTGCTGGTGGAATCGCCCCCTGTATTGCCACCGGTGATCATGAGGATGTGGCGTTTTTTTTTCTGGTAGTGGGGGTACTCCTCCTCTTCCTCCTCCAAGTTTCCGATCTCCCTCTTCTTGCCGAGGGGGATGGTGTTCGGGTTCACCCAAGCGTTCACCTTCGTGTGGTGCCCTCGGGGAGGTCCCTGATGAGAAGGTCCCTCCTGCCGAGGGCTCTGGATAAATTGGGACAGATGGCCCGCTTCTATCAATCTCTCGATGACCGTCTTTAGCTGATGGCAGTCATCGGTTCTGTGCCCCTGATGCCGATGGAAACGACAGTAGGGGAACTGAGGGTTGATAGCATGTACCTCCGGGGGTGCGCGAGAATCGCGCTCAACGAGGCCCCTCTCCTCGGCAAAATCAAGGATGATGCTGACGGGGTGCGTCAATGGTGTCCGGGCGGTCCAGGAGAATGGGCTGTGCCCAAGTCTTAGGGCTGCTCTTATACCCTCCCCCGGGCTTGGCTTGGCCTTGCCGAGGGCGGTCATCAGAGGGTCCTGAAGCCTTGGGATGATTTGGAGGAGCCCCCGGCCCTCGGTTGTTCCTGTTGTCAGCCTTCGGGGGTGGCTGATCCGGATGCTGGTGGTATTTCTCCACCTCCTCGGCCTCGGCATATCGGTCCCCCCGCTGCAGGGCCCTTATGTAATCGCGGGGGGGGGGGGGGGGGGGGGGGTTCAATGATGAGGCTCCTTGAAAAGTTGCCGGTGCGGAGGACGGTCTGTAGGAGGGCCAGGAGGGTCCCGTCGTCAGCACCGTCGACTTTGTCGGCTTCCGTCCTCCAGCGCTCCAGGAAGTCCCGAAGGGTCTCATCCCTCCTTTGGTGTATGGTTAGGAGGTGGGAGAAGTGCTTCCTCATGCGACGTCTCCCGGCAAACTGCGTCAAGAATCGCTGGGCGAGTTCTTGCCACGAATCAATGCAGCCTTCGGGCAACCGGTTGAACCATTCGCATGCCGGCCCCTCTAAGGTGGAGAGGAACCAACGACACAAATATTCGTCCGACGCCCCTACCATCATCATGTTGTTCTGATATTTGCTGTAGTGTTCCTGGGGGTCCGTCTTCCCGTTGTAGGGCTGTATGTGCTGCCCTCGGTATTTTTTCGGGATCCGGGCCGCCAATACCCTTGGGGTAAATGGCGTCCGGGTCCGGAGCTGGATGATGGGTTCCCCAGAGCCCTCGGCTACCTTCTTCTGTAATTCCTCCATTTTGGCCATCATGGCCTCGTACTTGAGGTCTTAATGAGGGGTGGAGGTGGTGGCGTGAGCTTTGTTGGCCTCCATTTCATCAAGCCGGCGTTGGAGGGCCGCAATAATTTCAACCCGGGGGTCCTTCGGGAGGGTCTCCGCCCCCTGCGAACGAACCCGGGCCGAGTGGGCCTGGTTGATTTGGTGGCGAGCATCGTCGGCATGAAGGGGTGCCTTGCCTTTGTCCCGAGGGGGACGCTCCTCGTCTGCCCTCGAGACAGACCCTCCGCTTTCCTGGGGCCTTTGGAGTGCTTTTCCTCCGAGGCGGTCATGGACCCCTCGGCGGTCTTGCCCCCCTCCGAGCCGGTTGAGGGCGGAAGTGCGGGGCCTTTCTCTGTTGTCATTGTGGCGGTCCCGGGACTGAACTTCCTGGGAGGCCGTATCTTGGGCCACTACCCCTTCGTCATTCCTAACCCGAGGGATGGGGTTTCCGAAGGGGTGTGGCAGAGGGGGAAGTATGATGTTCTCCCCAATCTGGGGTTGAGCCGGAGCCAGGGTGCCGAAAGCACCTGGGTTCTGAGTGAGCGTCTAGATGAAGGCGGAGAGCGCCGAATGAACGTCGATGATGAGAACCGGATGGCTGATTTGGTCATCGCTCCGGTTCTTCTTCTTGGCCTCGATGTCGAGGCGGGCATCGGGGGAATTCTGTTGGATCCTGTTCCAGCCCAGCGATGACACCGCCCTCGGGAGCCCTGTGAGAGGCTTCGGGGGCGTTGACGTCGCCGAGGGCCAGGTTCTTGTCTTCTACGTTTTTGGAGTTGGCACGTGTAGTTCTCACCGTTTTGGTAGAGGGCTAGTGTTTGGCGAAGGGGGAGGGTTTCTTACTCGATTGTTCGACCTCTCAACGAGAGTACCAAATGATGGATAGTGTACCCGGGGGGAAGCTTATCCGAGGGATTATTACGGGGAGTAATAAGAGAGAAGTCAGAGCAAGTAAATATAGAGAGAGAAAGTATATTATAAAGTGTGGAGCGTTTTCAGCGTGGTTACAAATGGGGAAATGGGGTGCTATTTATAGTAGCAATAAATGCCGGACAAGGACACGTGTCAAGCGTCCATTGGCCGAGAGGTCACTTCAACTGGTTGGCGCTGGCAGCCGCATGTGGCCGCATTTAATGCGGCTGTTGGATGGGACGTTGTACAGGGTACGGTGATCTGTACGCATGTGGCACGAATATTATGTCGGGAGAGGTGCCCTCGGCTGCAGAGGACTAGCCGAGGGCTCTGAGTGCCGGGGACCCCCTGGGTGACGAGGGCTCCAGGTGCCGAGGGCTACTGTTTTCTGCCGTTTTTCTCCCAGTTTCTTAGTTTGCTTGAAAACCCGTTCTGTGAGAGTTTTGAGCCGTCGGCCAGGGGGGCGAAGGCTCCCATTGTGCGCTGTGGGCTGCTGAGTGCTTGAGGCGCCGTAATTTGGGGCCTGCTGTGCTTCCTGGGCCGGTTGGGCCTTTATTGGTGTAGTAGGAGTCTGTGGGCCGGGGGTTCCCGGGCCATATACTCCATCAGCGCGAGTTGCATTTGATTGCCTCAACAAGTTAAATTTTGTATACACGCGATTTACATTTCGATTTACCTGTAGTTACATTTGCATACAAACGATTGACATATTTCATACATGAAACGTTGAATGACTGCCGGAGGGACTACACCCAGTTACATTACAGTGCGTGAGTTACGTTTGCCACTAATTGAAATTTCGTTTCACAGCAACACAAGTTACATTTTAAGACACATTATTTACATCACGAAAAAATTGAGACAAATACACGAGCACCGTTCACTCACGTTTTTTAATTAATGCTTAAACCTAAATGACATCATACGTTTAAGAACGAATATATGATGCTCACTATGGGCCGCTCCCACGATATAGCAATTGTGTGAGGTTACATTAAATTCAAAACACTAACTTAACTTTTTATTTTATGTTATTGTGACCAAAGCAGCAATTTGAAAAAAAAATTGCTTGTTCATGTTATTTGTGTATGTTTTGTACACATTTTTATTTTATCGTACATGCATTACCCTTTACTAAAAAATAAAAATGCAATTTAAAAAAATATAGAATTGTGTGGCATGTAAAAAAGGCAGAGCCATCTGATGAATTTGAAGGTCTCAGATCCAAAAGGCGAATTGAGACCTCTAAAAAAGGAAAAAATATAAAATATAACAATGAAATACAAATAAACTAGATAGTTTAGTGAAATATAAATTTTATAATGTTTAAAATATACTACCTCCGTGCCGGTGGACTTTGCCAAACGCAAAGTAGGTGAGAAATAAGAATAGTAAAAATTGTGTGGTTGAGATTTAGGCAGAGGAAGAAGAAATGTGCAAAACTACAAATTAGTTGCTTTAATAGGATAATGCCAAAGTTTTTTTGGACAAAAAAATGGAAAGTTGACAAAGTCCAATGGGATGAAGGGAGTATAAATTAGACAATCTAAAAGTTATACGCCTTTTAGATTCTTAAATAATACTAGTACTTCGTACATAACAGAATAATGCATAAAATTTAAAAGTCAACCTATAACTATTACTCCCTCTGTTCCGGAAAATTCTTACTGACTTGACTTGGATCGGAGTTTAAGAACGTAGAAATAAAGTAGAAATATATGATTGTGATAGTAAGAAAAATGTAAATGAATGGTAATAAAAAAATCTTTCCAAAAATGGGAAAAGAAGATTTTTTTTAGAACGGAGGTGTTACAACATAGTATTGGGTCCCGCTCCCAAGCAGCTACTCACCCAGTATGTATAATGTATGGAACTCACTCTAATTTAAAACCAAGACCTTATCTCCAAAAGCATCGCCTCTATTTCTGACTTTCTATAAATTATGTTATTCTCTCTTCGAAACCTCGATCCAGAAGTTATTGGTTTGCCCATATTTGCAAAATGGTATGGCCCACAATGAAGAAAAGACCGGCGTCCTCGCTCATTGTTCTGCTAGCTGCGGCGGTGATCTGCCGGTGTTTGGCCCAGGAAGCCGTCAGGAGTATAAAAGCTGCTACACTGAGTTCGCCAGCTACAGATATGGATATGAATGTACAAGTAATACTCCGTATAATTTAGCCTCCTTTAAGTTTGTGTGAGAATTCCTTAAACATGACAACAAATAGATAGTGTCTAAATTGGATTTTTTATTCGTAAAATCGGAGGCATTCTTATTTTGGTTACTCCTATTTGTACAATTTGTAATTTAGAGCTCCTTTAGTAATACTTATATTGGTTGAATAAGATGATTCTGGTGAAATTTATGAAGTTCTGGTTGTAGTAGCTGGATTGGCGGATTCTTGTTGATTTATGTAAAACTTATACTTAAAATATCTTTTAATAATAAAATAAAGAAAAAATTATATGAAAAAATGGTTAAAACGATAATCTATCATAACTTCGGTCTTCGAACAATACAGTAAGAAAAATAACTTTAACCTTTCTTATTCTTATTATTACACAATTCAACTCGCGAAATCAAAATTTACGTGTTTTATGAAAAAACTTGTTAACATGCCTGATAAGCTGAAAAAAGTGATCACTGAACGGGCTCTTAGTAATATTAGAGCAATTTTTTTATGTTTTTTTTTTATTTATACTAGGTGTTAGTTATGTTTGACTGTTTTTTTAATTGATGTACTCCCTCCGTCACTAAATTAACTTTTATAATATATTTGGCACGGGATTAAGAATTTAAGATAATGAGTATTGAGTGGTAGAAAGTTATGCAGAGAAGATACTATGTATGAATTGTCATGAACCACAAATTTTTTATAAAAAAGATAAAACAAAACTTTATTTTTATTGGGACGCTCAAAAAGGAAATTTCCCAGTTTAATGAGTGAATTGTTTCTCAAATCTGAATAGTTGGCTTGATTTTTATATCTGCGGGATACCGACAAAGATGGAGCTGAGAAAAAAGAACAAGGAAATGGACAGTCATCAAACATTTCATGCAGTCCTTGGGAATATGTCTCCTACAAACTGAACCAGAAACTAGCTTCAGATTATAAGACGCCCATTGTTTCGGAAAGTTCATGGGAAGTCTTGAAGAGATTCCAGGAGGCAAAATTTGAGGTTTATGAAACATGTGTGTCTGCTAAGAATACAATGTCAAAACAAGGAAAAGAGAAATATGAGGAAGCCAAAGAAAGAGTTTCAAAAGCTACTGGGGATCTTGGAGCAACTATAAGGAACTACACTCCCTTTTAAGGCTTGTTTTGAGTAACCAACGGATAGTTGAATAGCTATGTAATGTCATGTTTACTGTTAAAGTTGACAATGTAGAGACCTTAATGATAAGGTGTCTTTTGTGCATATATACCGATGAAAGTGAAAACGTTTACAGAAAGGGCTTGTTTGACATTTAGTGGTTAGTTGTTAGAGAATAGCGGATTATGCTAACGGGTTGCCAATAACGAATTCAATCACCGGGTTTTACTGGCGGAATAAATTAGCGGGTTGTCAAAAGATGTTTGGTAATTTAGATGTTTGGCTATAAAATTAATAGGAAATGTCATATTTCAAAATGCTTACCCAAAACTCTCCTATTTGCAGCGTTTCAATTTCAACGTTTCCGTCCAAAAACGCTAATGCTGAACATTTATTTACCAAATTAAACAGCTTTTTCACTTATTGAAAACATCATTTACAAAACGCCAAAAGTGATCAAATCATCATTTTCAGTTGAAACGTCATTTACCAAACACCCCAATACATGGTCATCGTACTTTGGAACACAATTTCTTAGTAAAATATGTTTTCTACCTTTAAAACACAAATGATCAGGACGGTAACCAAACCCATATTGCAAAAGTTAAAATTCGGTTTACAATGATTCACTCATCCAGTTCTAGTCTTCTAGAAATTGAACCACTCTCCTCCGACGAGGAGTGTCCTATTTATAAGTGTTGAAGTACGGTTCTCACACAAAGGACATTGGAGAACTTAAAGAAGCTTAAAGAGATCGGAAGATGAAGTTTACCTTGGAAATACTTGAGAAGAGACGAACTGGATGCCAAAGAGTGTTGACAGAAGAGCTGTGATACTTGAGAGCAAGAGAGCGAAAGTTTGGAAACCCTAAACTATTCTGGGGATTTGGTATTTATAGAGGACTTCACCGCTCACTGAACCATTAAGGATGCAACACGTGGCAAGGAGCGTATCCCAGGACACGTGTCACACAAAGCTCAACAGGCGCATAATGATTACCTTTGACTTGAGAGTTGATACGGCGCTGTAACTGTCACCTTGGGATCTGGGTGAACCGCCGCCTTGGAGCGATCAAGGTGCTAGGTGAGAGGTTGAATTATAATGGTTTAAAGATATTAGACATATGATGACATGTTTTGATGATATTATTTTCCAATTTGTGTACAGATGAGCGAATTGAGTTGTCTATGCATTGGCAATAGAAGCATGTTCATGGGTTGATGTTACTTGGATGGGATCTGCCCTTGATTGTATTGTTCATGTATTGATGCTTATTAATTAAGTTATTCATTTGCCCAAAAAACAGGGCCGGTTTTGGAAGGTGGGCAGGGGGGCACATGCCCAGGGTCCAGGTTTAGTATAGGGCCCATAATTTTATATGTTATATTATATATATATATATATATATATATATATATATATATATATATATATATATATATATTGTTTTTATAATATTAATAAGAATACTCCAGAATCCTAGATTGCATCGACGATTGCATCTCCATAATTGACCCAGCTAATTTGGCCGACAAAGAGAAGTCAAAGCGCTTGGCCGCTTGCATCTCTTCGATTTCAACACCACCGGTCACCGGGCTCACCGCTTCGATTCCTATTCCATTGAAACGGTAATTCTCCTTCTCTATATATATGTCTGAGAATTCTCCTTCGATTTCCATGATTCCATCCAATTATCCAAAATCCAAATAAATGAATAATCCAAATTCAGCATTCAGCAATTCTCTCCTTCGCCCTTCGGTTTAGTACTGATATTTTTTTGTGAGTGGCTTTGATTGCAAATTTGCAATTGTCCAGATTCAAAGCTAATGTTTGATTGTTTGAATAGTTTGATGTTTCTAAATATTTAACTAAGAACTTTTTTCTTGTATTACAGGTTGTTGACTTGTAAACTTGTTGTCCTATTGGCTGTTGATTACAAATAACAACATCCTGAGTGAGTTGCTGCCTTGCTGGCTGCCTAGCTTCAAACTGAGTTGAGGTTTTTCTGTAGTTTCGTTATTTTAGTATCAGCTATCATTAACAGATTGTGTTTCACTGATTGACTTGATTGTTTATAGCTGATAGCTTCAATCTTCATCTGAAATGTTTCCTAAAAAACATTTGTCTGGAAGTGAAAAAAGGAAAAAAAGAAAACAAGTTGATGAACTAATTAATTCTCAGAGAGGAGCTTTGGATAGGTTTGTTAAAATAGGGCGTTCCTCTAATGAGAATACATGCCAATTGAGTGAGCATGATTTTGAAATTGTTAATGAGCCTAATGTAAGTATGAGGGAAATCAGGGAATTGATAATACACAAAACATTTCAAACAATAACCAAAATGAGGATATTGTTGATGTTCAAAACTCAAGTGACCAAAATCAAAACATTGGAAATGTTTTAGAAGATGAACAACCAATTCCATTTTTAGATATTTATGATCCAGCCAATTGGGACAATATTGAAAATAAAGTAAGAGACCTTTTGGTTGAAAAAGGACCGATTAGAGAATTAAATCTTGAGTTTCCTTGTGATAAAACATCCAGGCGCTTTGCATATAGTTATTACACTAGAAAGCTAAGTAACGGTGAGAAGAGTGACAGAAAATGGCTGATTTATTCGAAAAAACTAGATAAAGTATATTGTTTTTGTTGCAAGTTATTTAGAGCTAAGTCTAATCAAAGCAAAAATGCGTTAGCTATTGATGGGTATAATGATTGGAAACATCTAGGTGTGAGGCTAAAAGATCATGAAAACAGTCTTGAGCATATGAGTAATATGAAATCTTGGAGTGAATTAAGAGTTAGATTAAGTACAAATCAAACTATTGATAAAGATTTACAACAACAAATTTTAAAAGAAAAAGAACGTTGGAGAAATGTTTTAATAAGAATAATTGCTGTTGTGAAATGTCTTGCTAAATACTGTTTGCCTTTTCGTGGATCTAATGAGAAACTTTACCAAGATGGTAATGGAAACTTTTTGGGATTGATTGAGATGATAGCTGAATTTGATGTTATAATGCAAGATCATATTAGGCGCATTCAAAGTCATGAAATTCACTACAACTATCTTGGTAAAAAAATTCAAAATGAACGGATTTCTCTCTTGGCTCACAATGTTCAAAACTCCATCATAAAGATTATCAAAGATGCTAAATATTTTTCAGTAATTCTTGATTGTACGCCTGATATGAGTCATCAAGAGCAAATGAGCTTAGTGATACGATGTGTGAATGTTTCTGGTGTTAAAATTAAAATAGAAGAATATTTTTTAGAAGTTTTGAAGGTGGATGATACATCTGGTTTGGGGCTTTTCAATGAGTTGTTAAATGCACTTAAATGTCTCGGTCTTAATGTTGATGATGTGAGGGTCAAGGTTATGATAATGGTTCAAATATGAAAGGGAAGAATCAAGGGGTTCAAAATCGGTTACTTGAAATAAATCCTAGAACTTTATATATGCCTTGTGCTTGTCATTGTCTAAATCTTGCTCTTAGTGATATGACTCATTCTTGTGTTAAAGCTGTTTCATTTTTTGGAATTGTTCAACGCATATATACTTTATTTTCAAGTTCAACAAAAAGGTGGAAGGTTTTACTTGATAATGTCTCAAATCTTACTGTAAAATCCTTGTGTAATACACGTTGGGAGAGTCGAATAAAAAGTATCAAAGCTATTAGATTTCAAGCTCCCCAAATAAGACAAGCATTGTTTGAATTATCTAAATTGGGTGATGATGTCAAGACCAAAAGTGAAGCATTAAGTCTGGTAAGTGCATTTGAAAGTTTTGAGTTTATACTTGGTATGGTTATTTGGTATGATGTTCTGTTTGCTATTAATATGGTGAGTAAAAAACTGCAATCTAAGTTTATGTGCCTTACTGCTACTATGAAACAAATTCAAGGTGTAATGATTTTTTTTGAAAAAATTAGGAATGAAGGATTTCTTTCTAGTATGAATATTGCCAAAGACATTGCATGTGAAATGAATGTAGAGCCCATATTTCCGACTCGAAGGCGAGTAACTAGGAAAAGACAATTTGATGAAAATGAAAATGAAACGGAACTACAATCAACAGAAGAATCTTGTAGAGTTAATTACTTTCTAATGGTCGTGGATATGGCAATATCTTCATTGAATAATAGATTTGAGCAGTTAAAGATATTTGATGGCATTTTTGGTTTCTTGTACAATTCTGAGAAGTTGAAGTCGTTGAATGCTAATGAGTTAAGAGAATGTTGTGTGAATTTTGCCAATACTTTTTCTCATGATGATCTTAAGGATGTGGATTTAGATGATTTTTTTCTGAACTTAAAGTTTTGTAAATGACTTTGCCTGATGCTTCAATGAGTGCACTGGATATTCTTGAGTTTGTTAAAGCTGCAGATTGTTATCCAAATGTCTCTATTGCTTATCGGATTTTATTGACGGCACCGGTGACTGTTGCATCGGCAGAGAGGAGCTTTTCAAAGTTAAAATTATTGAAGACATATTTGAGATCTTCAATGTCTCAAGAAAGATTGAATGACTTGACGATTTTATGTATAGAGAAGGAGATGTTGGATGATATTGATCTAGACTCTGTCATAGATGATTTTGCATCTAAGAATGCTCGACGGAGTTGTTTTTTGTAATTTTTTTGTATGAAGTTATGAACTATGAAGTATTCCATCCTTGATGTAATCAACTTTGCTTTTATAATGAAATTTAGTTTTGTGCTTTATAATTTGAGGGCCCATTTTTGTAATTTGTCCCGGGTCCTCAAAATCTCAGGACCGGGCCTGCCAAAAAATGTTAGTACAAAGGAGAAAATACTTCAATCTAGCTAAATTTAAAAGGGGATTATATGTTTTTACTTTGACGTGGCCCGAGAGAAAGTCGATCAACGGAACTGAACAAACCTAGCTACCTGGTATGTTTAGGAAAAAGTCTAGGGCTTGATCCTAAAATCAACGTAATAGTGATTAGTTAAGGGTAATCTAGATATACATATGATATGCTGGTTTGATATTTTTCATTTGACTAGTTCGTTAATAGGAATAGCATTTGGTCTCCCGTTTGCGTGCATTTTTTTAATAGGGTGTTATTTATCTACAACCTCACAATTAATTAAGCTAGCAGCACATAACATTTGTGCATGCAAGAAAATATGTGTGTCAGCTTTCCAAATAGTGTTCAACGAGAAAAGAAAAAAACAAGGGCCGAGTCATATATGTACT